TTGCGGTTTCCGGTCGCTGTTTTGTTGCCGTTCCCATTTTCAAGGGACACTTTTTCGGAAACGGTGAAACAACGGCCCTTCCGTTTCCGGGGCCCACTGAGGCGCCGACGCGTTCTACCTCCACATGGACGGCGAGGCAGAGCGCGCTCGCGCGCGCGCGCGCGCGGGGGGGGGAGAGCGAGCGGGGCAGCAGGAGGCACACCCGTGCGCCCGGGCCAGGGCCGAGCAATCGGTGGTTCCGCGGAGGAGGACCGAGGTGCCGCTACCGCTAATTACCACTCCCTCGTCGACGCCGCTGGATTCGCATCGACGTCCTGGTCAGGACGCACCCTGGGACAGGGCCCGGGAGGAGCGGCGCGGCTATCTTTCATGCCCACCGGGCCGCCATCTGCGAGGCACGCCGCCGCGGAGGTCTGCAGGCGGCGCCTCGCGCCCGCGCCCTGCGAGAGGCCGTGGCCGCAGCGGAGCTCCTGTACAGGCGGGCTGTCTGGGACAGGTGTTAAGTCAAGGAGTGTCCCTCTACAGGAGGAGTGATCAAAGCTAGTTGAACAATCGTCAGGGGACGATTCTTCTAGTATCCTTTTGGCTATTTCTTGGTATTGGGCTGGCCTCCGGCCAGTGCCGCCGATCCGGGGGGGGCTCTGGAGGAGGAATTTTCTACACCCCCCTGCCGAAAAACGTCGGAAATGACGTCGGAAGTATCACCTGTGTACCGAAAAACATCGGAAATGACGTCGGAAATAACGTACGCCCCCCCCCCCCCCTGCAGAGCGAAGCTTGAGCGAGCTCAAGTCCACGCTCTCAGAAACTCACACGCTGGATCGGCGGATTGGTTTGAGTGTGTTGTATTTGTCGTCGAAAATTCGCCTGTAGGGGGACATGGCCGACCTAAGACCAAGCGGCTCGCGAGCGCGCCCGTGCTGCATGCACCTCGAGGCCGCCACCGCCCACTCCCAGCGGCTGCTGGCGGAGGGCGGCCCGCGGCCAGGCCCGGATCCTGGGCGCCGCGGGCGCGGGCGAGGGGCGCGAGTGGGCGGGAGGAGCGCTGCGCAGGGCCCGCCGGCAGCGCACTGGCGCAGAGCTCCTGCGGGAGCTGCCGGCGGCAGCGGCCGGGCGCCGCTGGCGGCGGCGCCTGGCACGCTGCACGCTGCGCGCCTTCCCGAGCGGCCGTGCTTCGCGGGAGCGGGGCTGTCGCGACGTTGCGGGTTGCGGCTCCTTGCGTCCGCGCCGCGCTGTCGCGGACGCGGCTCCATGGCTGGTGCACAGGCCGCCGCTTCCAACAGCAGCGCCGGTGCATCTTCGGGTGCAGGCTGTAGGACTCGATCGAGCATTGCGCGCGCTGCCCGGTCGTGCACACGTTCGCGTGGCGCCGGCCCGCGATTCCCACCGCGGCAGACAGCCGCGGCGCTGTCACGCTGCTCGACCAGCCGCTGGGCAACCTGTCACCACCCACCAAACCACCCCAACCCAACCCGAAGGCCCCAATGTATCCTCGATTTCCAGTGGGGGGGGTCGTGGGACATCGAGAAAACACATATGGAACCCGTACCCCCCCCAACCCGAAATTCGGGTCTTCGGGTTGGGTTGGGGTGGTCTGGTAGGTAGGCAGCCTGTCCGTGGGCCGCCTCGCCTTCTCTGCGGTGCGCACGGCGGCGGTGTGCCGGGTGCACTGCTGGGCGCGGCATGCCACGCAGGCTGCCCCCCGCTGACGGCCGACGCGCCCCAGCGGGCTAGCACGTACGAAGCTGGTCTGAGGGCGCGCCGCGGCGAGTGCACTTGCGCACTTGCGCGGGCGCTTGCGGGCGAGCGCCGCACGCCCGCGCGCGCTCCGCCGCGCCGCGCGGCTGCTGCCCAGCCATGCCGCCGAGGAGGCGTTTCTGCCCTCTGCCTCCCCTGCGCCCCACCTCCTGCACTGCTCCGCGTTGCAACCGTGGTGTAGTTTGTCGGGGCCAGCCGGGGGGCCTGTGATGCAGCCTCCTCCTCCGCCTCCTCTTCCTCCTCCTCCTCCTCCTCCTCCTCCTCCTCCTCCTCCTCCTCCTCCTCCTCCTCCTCCTCCTCCTCCCCCAAGCGCCTGCATTGCGCCGCGGTTGTGGGGTCGAAAGTACGGCCCGGGCCCCAGCTGCCCCGAAACCCTTTCAACAGCTAAACGCCGCTTTTCGTTCAGCGCGCCGGAAGCGGTTGTACTTGAATTCCGTTTTATACGTCACCTCCCTGATTTTTTTACACAATTTCTGTATTTTCCAGGGGACGGTGCCCAAGGGGCGATCCGTAGCGGGGGTCTTCCCCGAAGGAATTTCTGTGGGGCCCGAGGGGGCGATTCCCCTTTTGCGGGAGCCCTTCAATGTTCAGTGGGCTTGAGTTTGGCTTCGTGCCTGTGCAGGGGCACCGAATACGGCATGCGCAGGTGTTGCACGCGACCATCTGTTCCCTTATGCGCCGTCTTCGTTTCCAGCGTATCCGATCCGATCCGACCCCCCATGCGCTCCAGCCTTGTGCCATCTAGGTGCGGTTTGCGTGGAAGGGGGCAGGATCTGTCTCCCGAGTCTCGGCCGCGCTGGCAGGAAAATTGCCCTCCTGAGCGTTGGGCAGGGGGAACCTCCTGCCGCATCGTCGCCGAATGTCTTCCGGGGGTTCTGGCCGCTCAGGAGCAGGCTGTTTAGAATTGCCCTCGTCTCCCACGCCTGCTTCTGGCCACACGGTTGCGGGCCAGTGGCGGCCAGTGTCGCCCCAGCGGGCACGCGGAGCACGGCCGACGCTCCCCTGTCACCCCGAGCCGGTTGGCAGGGTACACGTCCCTTCCGCCCCGTGGACGAGGGGCGGAGTCGGTAATTGGACGGCCTGTGCGATATGTTCGTTTCGTCGTTTTCGTTCCTCCTCCCTCGGCACTTGCTATATGGTGGTGACGCGAGCCGTTGGTGCACAATTGGGAGTCTCATGCGTGATAGGTGTACTGGCCATGTCGTTGGCAAACGTTTTCGGAGCCTTGTGATTGGCAGCCTCGTTGCCGACGAGTTTGCAGGCTATGCAGCCAACATCTGTAGACTGGCCGAGAATATTCGCACGCGTGCTTTTCCACACGGGCGTCGGACATATTTGATCAGGTTACGTTTATTGAGAGCGCTTTGGGACAAGTCTGCGGTTACTAAATAGTCTGACTTGTTGGATAAGTTGAGCGGAGTAGAGGCCTGCCCGCCACCTCCCTTTCCTTTCCCCTTCCCTTGAGCTCTGCTGCAGCCCAGGGCTGAACCTAAACGTTGTTTTGCTGAACTTCGGCTGTGCTTTGTTCCCTACCATCCTGTGGTGTTGGGTCCTCGTTTTGAAGTGACGCCCCCCCGCGTTCCCGCCTCCTTCCTCCACCTCCTCCCTTATCCCATCCCTGCCTGTGTTCTCCGCGTGCCGTCATCGCCATCACTATCGTCATCATCGTGGTCACCATTGCCATTATCGGCGTCATCAACATCGCCATCGTCAGCGTCGTGACACGCCCATCACACGGTTCGTGGCCTCATAGGGAGCTCCACCGAAGGCGCCAGTGTCGGAGGTTGCATCGTCAACGCCACCCATATCGGCACACCCACACGGTTCGTGGCCCCACACGGAGCTCCACCGAAGGTTCCAGTCGGAACGGTTGCATGCGGCAGCGCCACCCATTTCGGCACACCCCTCGCACGATTCGTTGCCCAATAGGGAGCTCCACCGAAGGCGCCAGTGGCAGGGACCGCATGCGACACTGCCACCGATTTCGGCGCACCCTTCACACGGTTCGTGGCCCCATAGGGAGCTCCACCGAAGGCTCCAATGGCAGCGGTTGCATGCGTCAGCGCCACCCATTGTGGCACACCCGTCACACAGTTCGTGGCCCAATATGGAGCTCCACCGAATGCTCCAGTGGCAGCTTCTGCATGCGTCAACGCCACCCATTTCGGCACACCCCTCACGCGGTTCGTGGCCCCATGGGGAGCTCCACCGAAGGCTTCATTGGCAGGGTCCGCATGCAACACCGCCACCCGTTTCGGCACACCCCTCACACGGTTCGTGGCCCAATAGGGAGCTCCATTGAAGGCGCCAGTGTCGGAGGTTGCACGCGCCAACGCCATCCAATTCGGCACACCCCTCGCACGGTTCGTGGCCCAATAGGGAGCTCCACCGAAGGCGCCAGTGGCAGCGGTTGCGTGCGTAACGCCACCCATTTCTGCACGCCCCACATGGAGCTCCACCGAAGGCTCCAGTGGCAGTGGTTGTATGCACCAGCGCCACCTACTTCGGCACACCCCTCACACGGTTCGTGGCCCAATATGGAGCTCCACCGAAGGCTCCAGTGGCAGCGGTTGCATGCGTAACGCCACCAATTCGGCATACCCTCACACGGTTCGTGGCCCTTCAGGGATTTCCACCGAAGGCTCCAGTGGCAGCGGTTGCATGCGTAACGCCACCCATTTCGGCACACCCCTCACGCAGTTTGTGGTCTCATGGGGAGCTCCACCGAAGACTCCAGTGGGAGCATGGGAAGTGGAGGTCCAGGCCTATTAGATGGGGTCAGATCAGAGTAGATGGGGTCGGAGGATCGCGCCGCATCGCCGATGCATCGACGATGCGGGTTGATGTGGGAATCGATTTGCTTTACGTCGACGTCGCCGATGCATCATCGCCTGTGCATAGCCAACACACTGCTGATGCATCGCCGATGCATCGGCGATGCGGCGCGATCCTCCGACCACAGTTACCCTGGCGATGCTTCGGAGATGCATCGTCGTCGTCGGCGATGCATCGGCGACGTCGACGTGAAGGAAATCGGGCCCCGCATCGATCCGCATCGCCGATGTATCGGCGATGCGGCGCGATCCTCCGACCCCATCTACTCTGACCCTTTCAGAAGGCCTCCTAGGAGGGGAAGACGAACATCCAAAGCATATGGAAAGATATGGAGAAGCCTGGGATTGGTGTGTAGAGATTCCCACCCCATCTACTCCGACCCCATCTAGGAGGCCCCCCCGAGGGGAAGACGAACATCCAGAAAATAGGGGATCTGCGAGGCGGAGGAGGCGGAGGGGGAGGAGGAGGAGGAGGAGGAGGAGGCGGAGGAGGAGGAGGCGGAGGCGGAGGAGGAGGAGGAGGAGGAGGAGGACGATGAGGAGGAGGAGGAGGAGGAGGAAGAAGGGCAGCCTGTGACCCGTGCCTATCTACTTGTGTGCCCCTGGCCCTCCTCTCAGAAGCCTGGGCTAGGTCCACCGCGCCCGGCTGGAGGGCGACCTCCTCGTCTGGGACGACGGCGACATCTGGGCCCGGGGCCGGGCGGAGGAGGACTTCGAAGGCCTCGCCGCCGTCGTCGTCGTCGTCGTCGTCGTCGTCGTCGTCGTCGTCGTCGTGGTCGTCGTCGTGGTGGTGGTCGTCGTCGTCGTGGCAGGTTCAGGGTTGCCCTGCAAAGACCTGCCCGCGTCATGCGGTGCCCCCGCCCGCGGAGGAGGACTTCGAAGGCCTCGTCGTCGTCGTCGTCGTCGTCGTCGTCGTGGCAGGTTGGGGGTTTCCCTGCAGGGCCCCCCCGCGTCATGCAGTGCCCCCGTAGATGGACAAACATGTGGAACCCTTGACACCGCGCCCCCCCCCCCCCCCTCCAATTTCAAAGTTGGCCCCAAGCATTCGGTAGCACAGGCGTGAGGGGACAAGAAAAGTGGAACCCCCAAGGCCACCGGGAAGCCGCAGCCAGCTTCGAAGTTGGGGAGCGGGGGGGGGGGGGCGAACGCGGGGTCGAAGACGAAGGGGTTCCACTTTTTCGTCCCCTCACCGCCCCGCCCCGCGTTCAACCGCGGCGCCCGGGGGGGTGTCAAAACATTTGCGCGGGCGGGTGGAACGCCGGGCGCCGCGTCCGCGCGCGCCGCGCCGGGGTGCGCCGCTCGGCGCGCGCGGCGGACGAAGCCGCTCGCCAGCTCCGGCACCGTCGGACAAACGTCGTCGTCGCGGTGGTGGGCGGGTGGTTCTAAGCCTCCCAGACGAGGTTCTGTGCGGCGCCCTCTCCTTGTCCCTCCTCCCTCCTTCCTCCTCCCCCCCTTTCTCTTCCGCCCCTGTGCGGACAGATGTACTGAACGGCACGGAAGGGCAGGCTTGGCGGGGCTGCTTTGTTTCGTTTGGCTCCTCCGACGTCGTTTCCTTGTTGTCTTTTCTGCCAGCTCTCATTTTTTATTTAGCTATAAAAGAGCAGACTTGCATTCGAGCGCCGCACACGCGCATGCCGACGCTCAGCAGCAGCAGCCTCCGCCCTCCGCCTGGCCCCCCGGATGTACCTTCACCGTGGAGGACCTCGTGGAGGAGCAGGGGTATAATCAGGATGGGCGACAGCACACAGGCACAAACGATCGTAGAGCCCCAGGCAGAGATGGAACGTATGCGAAGTGGATGTCTAGTCCTCCTTGATGGGGTCGGAGTATATGGGGTCGGAGGATCGCGCCAGGTCGCCGATGCATCGCCGATGCGGCTCGATGTGGAGCCCGATTTGCTTCTCATCGACGTCGCCGATGCAACGCCGACGTCGACGACGCATCGCCGGTGCATCGCCGATACATCGCCGATGCATCGCCGATGCATCGGCGATGCGGCGCGATCCTCCGACCCCGTCTACTGGACCCCATGTAGGAGGCCCCTAGTGGCGGTCGTGGTCGTCGTCGTCCTCGTCGAAGGCCTCGTCGTCGACGTCCTTGCCGTCGAAGGCCTCGTCTGGGACGACGGCGACATCTGGGCTGGGGGCGGGGCGGAAAAGGGCTTCGAAGGCCTCGTTGTCGTCGGCGTGGTGGCGATATGCGAGAGTGACCTTTCGCCAGAATGACTTTGGTGTGGTCACTCTTGGGCCCCAGATGGCTGAATGCGATGCGGTCGCCGCGGCTTGCGCGCTCGCTCCGGCTCGGCCCCCCCGCGGCTCCCGAAAGTCGCGCACCAAAAATCATCTTTGCGTAGGGTCACTCTTGATGGTCGCCGAATCGTGGTGGCGCTCGCTCCGGCTCGGCCTCCCCGCGGCTCCCGAAAGTCGCGCACCAAAAATCATCTTTGCGTAGGGTCACTCTTGATGGTCGCCGAATCGTGGTGGCGGTGGTGGTGGTCGTCGTCGTCGCCGCCATCCTCGTCGAAGGCTTCGTCGTCGACGTCCTTGCCGTCGAAGGCCTCGTCGCCGTCGTCCTTGCCGTCGTCGTTCTCGTCGCCGTTCGTTGGCGCGCGGGGGTAGCCCGTTACCCCGTCTCCCCTGCACTGGAAAGGGAATGGGGTCGTATTCCCCCCGTTGCCCTGTGGGTGGAGGTTAAGGTGGGTTTGGACGTTTAAACGTCTTCGTCGTCGTCGTCGTTTTGAACGTCAAACGCGCGAGGAGCAAGTGTTGGGGGAAACGGGGAGGCAAGCTAGGTTTTCTCGCGCCTCATCTGGTATCTTATCCCTCCCCATTTTTTTCTCACGTTTTTCTGGTGCATGAAAAAATCCTCGGACGCGTGTCATAGCCGACCTGAGACTTGCACAGACCGACCATTACGTGTTGCGCGCAATCGGGTAATGGCGAATTGCGTGCGCCAGAGGAGGAGGAGGTTGTTGGTGAGCAGGAGGCAGCAGCAGCATCAGCAGCAGCAGCAGGAACTGGAGTGGAAGGAACGGGAGTAACAGGAGGACCAGGGTAAGGCGGAGGAGGGGCAATGATGGGGGTATCAAATTGAAGCAAGATTTGGATCCAGAAAAGTGGCGTGCGCTGGGGCGAGAGCACCATCCTGAACGACGAAATCAACGCGCCGATCCTAAAATGAGCCCACGTTGCAGCGGGAATATTTTGAACCACAGAAAACAATTGGATGGGAAGCGAAAGACAAATCAATGTGTTTGGAACCCTGCGCGTAAGAACGCACACACACAAAAAGGGGATGGGAGATTGTCCAGACAGCTTCAAGGGAGGAGGGAGCGGATAATTCATGTCATGTAGTTTTGGGGGGCCAGGGGGAAGAGATAGGAGGGTGGAGGGGGGGGGGAGAGGGGACAAGGAGGGGGGGAGGAGGAAGGAGTGAGACGGAGGAAAAGCAAGAGGGGAAGGAGGAAAATGAGGAGGACAATGGGGAGGATAATGAGAATGAGGAAGAGGAGAAGGAGGATAAGGAAGAGGAGAAGGAGGAAAATGCGGAGGAAAAGGACGAGGAGAAGGGTACAGCACCCCCGTAGAAACTCTAAGAGCCCTCCGTCCTCTACTGCACCAGCCCTGATCCCACGGCGATTGTGAACTCCTTCTGCGGGCCGCCCATCCACCCCCGGGGCCGCGTGGCCAATGCATGAGACGGCGACCATCTGAGCATGAGTCGCCCAAGTTGGCGGCTTACTCTCTCCTCACGTCCGCGGACATTTCAGGGGGGGTCTTGCCGTGCCTTCCCTCCCCCTTCCTCATTCACACCACAGAACCATCCTCTGGGCAAGCTTCTGTCCGCAGGAAGTGTGGCTTTACGTCCCTGCATGCCAGTCACGGCACTGAGGCCCCAATCCGATTTTTGAGGCGGCGCACCGGCCTGGCTGAGCATCTCAGCGGCGTCTCGTGGCACGTTCATCATGCAGCTCCTTGAAGTCAGCATGCGCTTTCCCTCGCCAGGCGGGCAAGAACGCAATGCACCACCCAGATCAAACACATGGTCACGTACACAGTATGCATGCTGTAGCATTCAACGGCCGACTGCCAATAACTGTGAGTGGAAGAACCTCTGCAAACAGACGTGGCGGCGAATACACGCAAGCCAGTGCAAGCTCGCTCTGCGAGCGCACGCCACTGCGCATGCCCATACGCCCCTCAGGCGAGACATCCGTCAGGGTTTTGACATCCGAGCTCCACAGGCAAGACGCGAAAGTAACGACAACTTTGGGCTCAGGGGATGGGCTCGTGCTTCCGGGCCGCTTCTCGGATCTAGGGTCGGGGAACAAGTGCTGCTCGTGGCGGAGGCGTGCCGCGGCCAGACAGGCCCCGCCGTTCTTGCTAGCGTTCCCCGTGGCGGCGCGACCCAGACATCCGCCGTCGTGCACGCTGCACAGCGTGGCTCAGAGGTCCAGGCTCCTTTTTCCCAGCAGTTGTGCCCAACCGTCCTGACGACGTGAAGGTGGAGGAGGAGCACGGAGAGGGGGAAGTGGAGGAAGACGAGGAGGACGCGGACGGGAAGGATGGCGGGGAGGAGAAGGAGACTTGACATGGAGGAGGCGGAGGACGAGCCGGAGAAGGAAGAGGCTCAGGAGGGACGGGGAGGAGGAAGAGGGAGGAGTGATAGAAGGATGGGCAAGATGAGTTCGAATGGCAGAGTTCGCCTCTCTGCTATTTCTCCTTCCGCCGTGCGTGCAAAAGGCCGGTGGGCGCTCCAGAACGTCCCGGGGATCGTCCACGTAATAAAGGACGGCCAGATACACGGACCTGACGGCCGGGGCCTCAGGCGGTGTCTTTCTTGGATGCCGCGTCGAGACCCTGCAGCCCCGGTTGCCCAGAGAGCAAAGAAGCCGAGCGCGGCCCGAATCAGCGAAAGTGGGAGCCTTGAGACGGGGGTCAATGCAAACGGGGTCAGCCAGGGCACCAGATCATGCAGGATCCTGCGAAGGCCCCCTCTGGCTGACCCGGCTTAGCGAGCCGCTCGTGGCCGCGAGGCGGCCGCGCATATTGACTGACCCGGGTTTGCGAAGATTTGCGTTGCAGTTTTTTTTCCTGCACTGCAGTTTTTGGTTTCCTGCTGACCCGGGTCTGGATTGACCCGGGTCAGAAGATCCCCGACGAAGGTGAGTTGAAGGCAGGGTCGGCGCAGTGCCGGCCAAGCCTACCCGGGGGAACCAGCAGACTCCGGGTCTCCCCAGGATCTGGAGGCCCCCCATGACGGTGGGTCCGCGCCGTGCCGGCGCGGCGGGAGCCGCAGCGCGGGGATTCGAGCGTGAGCGCAGCCAGCGGCCAGGGGTCGGCCGGTATCGAGCCCTGCGCGCTGTCGGGGAGCTGCGATCGTTCCGGGTGGAGCGGTGCACGCGGTGCCAGGAGCCACCGTGCAAGTCTTCGCGACACGGGCCTGCCGCAGAGCCATTCGCCCAGTGCAGTCACAAGGGGGGCGTCTGGGGATCGGTCCGCCTCCTCCTCCTCCTCCTCCTCGTCCTCCTCCTCCTCGTCCTCTGCCCTACTTGCGCAGCGCTACGAAGTGTACTCTGCGACTGGGCACCTGAACAAAACCTGGACGCTGCGGCACAGCTGCATTCGCTGCTCTGATCGCCATATTCATACGCCAGTGCGCAACTGTTTCTCCTCCTCTCGAGGGCCCCCTCACGGTGTGGTGACCTCACGGTGTAGTGAGTCAGTGGGGATTCGGGGTGACCGCACGGTTTGGGACCTGGGTCGTTCTTCGAGGATGTCTGAGGCGACTGGGGCTTCCAGGGTACCCAAGCCACGGGCCGTGCGGTGAGGTCTTCCAGGATTTCGAGGTCATTGCACGGTCTGTCATCGCACCGTCTCTAGGGAAACCGAGAGGCATCGATATCGCTATTCCCCGTACCTCTCCCGTGGTGCGTTCTGACTAGGATTTCGAGGTGAATCCAACGGTGGCGACGAGGGCCTCGCAGGACGGAGAAAGTATGGGTATCTTTTTCTTTGAGTTTTTGAATATTTAGTTCCCAACCATCTTGTGGTGTTGGGTCCTCGTTTTGACGAGACGGTTCCCGCGTTCTCCTTCTCTCCTCCTCTTCCCCCTCCTCCTCCACCGTCCGCATGCGTCCCGCACACCCAGTACAGCGTTTCGTGGCCCTCCTCCCCCTCCTCCCTGCGTTTCACCCACCCGGTACAATATTTCGTGGCCCCATAGGGAGCTCCACCGGAGGTCCCGGTGCTACCGTCCGCATGCGTCCCGCACACTCAGTGCAGCGTTTCGTGGCCCCATAGGGAGCCCCACCGACGGTCCCAGTGTTACCGTCCGCATGCGTCCCGCACTCCCAGTACAGCGTTTCGTGGCCCCATAGGGAGCTCCACTGGAGGCCCCAGTGCTACCGTCCGCATGCGTCCCGCACACCCAGTACAGCGTTTCGTGGCCCCATAGGGAGCTCCACCGAAGGTCCCAGTGCTACCGTCCGCATGCGTACAGCGTTTCGTGGCCCACCTCTCCCTCCTCCCTGCGTTTCACCCACCCAGTGCAGCGTTTCGTGGCCCCATAGGGAGCTCCACTGGAGGCCCCAGTGCTACCGTCCGCATGCGTCCCGCACACCCAGTACAGCGTTTCGTGGCCCCATAGGGAGCCCCACCGAAGGCCCCAGTGCTACCGTCCGCATGCGTCCCGCACGCCCAGTACAGCGTTTCGTGGCTCTCCTCCCCCTCCTCCCTGCGTTTCACCCACCCAGTACAGCGTTTCGTGGCCCCATAGGGAGCTCCACCGAAGGCCCCAGTGCCCCCGTCCGCATGCGTCCCGGAAGCTTAATTTGGTATTTTCACCCACTCATTGCAGCGTTTCGTGGCCCCATAGGGAGCTCCACTGGAGGCCCCAGTGCTACCGTCCGCATGCGTCCCGCACACCCAGTGCAGCGTTTCGTGGCCCCATAGGGAGCCCTACCGAAGGCCCCAGTGCTACCGTCCGCATGCGTCCCGCACACCCAGTACAGCGTTTTGTGGCTCTCCTCCCCCTCCTCCCTGCGTTTCACCCACCCACAGCACAGCGTTTCGTGGCCCCATAGGGAGCTCCACCGAAGGCCCCAGTGCCCCCGTCCGCATGCGTCCCGGAAGCCAAATTTGGCATTTTCACCCACCCAGTGCAGCGCTTCGTGACCCCATTGGGCAGGCGGCGGATATGGATATTGTGTGGCCCCCCAGGGGCCCACCTGTATCCATGTCCACTGCCCAATGGGGCGCCAGGACGTCGGTTCCCAGGCTTTGAATCCCCGCCTTGCACCCACATGGCACCAGCGTGCTGCGCGCACAGGGCTGCCCCCCCAGCTGCTCCAAAGTGCCGCGCAGCTGAGGCGGCACCTGCCCAGTCCGAGGGATCGATCTTCGGGGACCTCGGCAGGCGGTGGATTTGAATGTGGATCTATAGTTGGGCCCTGGGGGGCGCCAGACATACCCATATCCGCCGCCTGCCGAGGTCCCTGAAGAACGATCGAGGCGGTGGGGATGGAGAAATCCCCGCTTCGGGAGTGGCGACGCTCAACCTCCGACGTCGTGATGTTTCACGTGGGCCCCCGGTGGTCTGGACTCCTTCCCTGGGGCCTTTCCCTCGCCCCGCGCCATTGTTTGACGGTCCTGGGGCCCAGCGAGACCCCAGAGCTCAGAAATCACCAAGCCGTCGTGATTCGTTTCTCGAGGTGGTGGCCATTCTTGCCTGCCGCCGACCAGCCAGCCTTGCCCCGAAGACCCCGCGCGGCCGAGGCTACAAGATCGACTTCGCCGTCCGCGGCCGCGACCGCCTGTGCATTGAGCTGCAGGGCGCCGTGCACGTCGCTGAGCTCCTGGGAGAGCAGCTGGTGTGGGACGACGGCGACACGTGGGTGCGGGAGCAGGAGTCCTCCCCCTCCTCCTCCTCCTCTCCTCCTCCTCTCTCTCCTTTTCCTCCTCCTCCTCCCCCTCCTCCCCCTCCTCCTCCTCCTCCTCCTCCTCCTCCTCCTCCTCCTCCTCCTCCTCCTCGTCCTTGTGGAAGGAACAGGGGCTGGTGCGGGAGCAGGGCGGCATGCTTCTCGGAGGTTGATATGACATTGAACCACCATCTGGCAAGGCATCGGGCTGCGCACAGGCGGCCCCCCCCCAGGCAGCCCTGGCTGGTTTGGACAGGCCTCTCGAGCGGTCTGAGCACGGGTCGTGGCAGCTCCTTCTTGTCTTGCTCTTCGTGCCCCTCGTCATCTAGCCGCCTTACGTATCGTCCTCGTCTTCCTTGTTCGTTCCCGGTCCTCGGTCATCGCTCATCCGTCTCCTCAGCCTCACCCTGCCCCTCCTTCATCACTGCTGTTCCTCCTCCTCGTTATCCTGGTGGGTCCTGCCTGAGGGGACGAGGATGATAATATAGGTGGAGGATGAGGAAGGGAAGGCGAACATACGAAGGACGAAGAGGGAAGTAATGACGAGGGAGAGGAAGAGAAGGGGGATGAACAGGAAAGAGGAGGCACACGATGACCCTGAGAAGTGAGGAGGAGGAGGAGGAGGAGGAGGAGGAGGAGGAGGAGGAGGAGGAGGAGGAAGAGGAGGAGGAGGAGGAGGAGGAGGAGTGAGGAGAAGGAGTGAGAGAGAAAAGTGAGGATGAGGAGGGGGGTAGAGTGAAAAGGAACGAGGAGGAGGAGGAGGGAGGAGGAGGAGGATGAGCAGGAGGAGGAGAAGGAGGATAAGGAACGATGAAAGTGAGGATATGACTAACGGTGAGGAGAAGGAGGAGGAGGAGGAGATGAAGAAGGAGGAGGAGGAGGAGGAGGGGAAGGAGGATGATGATGATGATGATAAGGAGGAGGAGGAGGATGAGAAGGAGGAGGATGAGAGGTGACGCTGTGTGCGGATAAGTGCGCGTGGGTGATGAGGAATAGCAGCGGGCATGCGGTGATTTAGGAGAAGGAGGAGGTTTGCTGCAAGAACGATGCCTGGCGGTCCCCGCCCCAGCTCGCCACAAGAGAAAGAGGATGGGCGGGCACTCCGCCACGGGGTGCCTCCCGCCCCGTCCTGCCTCAGTCCATGAGGCACTCCCAGAAAGCGTCACACTCCTCCTGTACCAGGGAGCGCGGTACCGCTTCGAGGGAGACCTTCACTGCGTAAGGATTCCTGCCTCGGCGCAGGAGCGAGAGGCGGTACCCTGCGGTGGGGTTCGCTGGGGCCCCGACGCAGGCGCCCAGGAGCTTGCACCCCCTCTCGCTCGAAAAGACACCGCACCGATCGCAGAATGTATACTGGCCCACTCGGTGCAGCTCGTGCCCTAGGGCCGCTCCACGGAGAGCGGGAGAAATGTCTCCTTCCCCATCCCCCCGCCCCAGCCCGACTCCCCAACGACGATCCACCCTCATCTTACCCAGGCAGGGTCTGCGCGCCAACGCGCGCTTGGTCTTGCTGGAGAAAGCTTTGCGGCCACACGTCGAGCAACGCCACGCCCCCCTCCTCCAGAGGAGGACGTGAGCTCGGGCCCCCTCGGGCGGTCCTTGCCGCCTTCGGCGGGCCCCGCTGGAGCCCGCGGCAGGCCTCCCCGTGGAATCCCCGAAATCCGCAGTCAACCCCGTCACCCCCGCCACCAGAGTCAACACCGCCTGGACCTCCGCCGAGCGGGTGGTCCAGGTCTGGGCCTTCCACGGGGGGACCTCCTGCATGTCGGCCCCTAGGCGGGCCTCATTATCTGCCAATTGGTTCCCTTGAAAATCGAGAAAACTTTCGTGCGAGTCATCCTTCGGCCCGCGCGCATGGGCCTTTACCTTGACGGCCTGGAAGTCGCCTTCTTGGCTGAAACTATCCTGGAGCTGGGCCCAAATCCTGCCCCAGAGGTCGGCGTGAGGCCTCCGAGGGCTGCAGCACCAACGGGGACCTCTACGGAGGCCTCGAATGACTGAACTGTTGTCGATCCCTACCCTCAGCGGAGGGTGGGCGCTATACAGCATTTTGAGCAATCCATGCAATTCAGCACGGAGGACGGAGGCGAGGATACGCAGCCCCGGGAGGGTACCCCGCATGGCCTTGACAGCCCCCCCGTCCTGGTCCAGGAAAACGAAGCCCCAACCGAAGCTCTTGAGCCCTGGTGGGCCTCTGGCCGATCCGTCAGAGTAGGCCCACCCTGAGACCAGCGGGGGATTCACAAAATCGGGGTTTTCATCCTCCAGGGCAGTAATCCAATCAGACTGCGGGTCCTCCAGGGGGTGCTCGTGAAGCCCACGGGAGAAGAGGAGGGAATCCGAGGAGGAGGATTCAGCACGATGCACGATCCCTTGGAGGCCCTCAGCCTCTGCGACGGTGGCTCTCGCCGCTCCTCGGTCTGGGCAGCAACAGAACCGATGGTGCTGACATCCGACTTCTGCGCCACAGGCTTGGCAGGACCTGTCGTCCCCGAAGCCCGCGCGCCAGACCTTTTCCTGGGTCCAGAAGTCTCGGCCTATGTAGGCCAGGATAGCCGATCGCCTCTGCGGCGATCGGTTAGCCTTTCGCCGAAGGAGAGCCCGAATAGGCTCGAGGAAAGGACGGGTGATTCCGAGGTCCCTGGAGGCCGCCCAGGAGGTCATAACCGCAAATTCCAAACGGGTCCAGATCAGCTTCTTGAGACACTGCGGTGCCGTCCTACGCAACTCCCAGTGCTGCCCGAGATGGTCGGAGAAAACGTGAGGGGCAGGCCACGTCCACGAGAGGAGATGGAGTGTGGCCCAGACGGCTGAGGCAGGTCCTTTTATCTGTCTCCAGGGGTTGCTCCCAGGCTTGGCGGCAGCAGCCGCCGCAACAGCTCTACGCCACCCCGCAGCCATGATCTCCTCATGGCTGCCAGCAAAGATAGCCTCCGCCCATTTGAGCAGTGGCTTCGTGCAAGCGTCGACCAGGGGGTCGCAGCGAAGCGTCCACAGGCGCAGCAGTCGGTCCTTACCGATTGCGTTCCCGCCCGGCGCTGACGCCATGAGAGCCCTCGCTCGGGTGAGCCGAGTCGGGTCCATTCCGAGGCAGACCGCCCCATACAGCACAGAGGGGAGAAATCCCATACGCGCAACTTGAAACGTGCGCGCACCCTGCTTGCCGAGACTCGACAACTTACTTCTGCGTCGCCGAGCGCTCCCCATCCTGGCATCGGCCCTGGCGCGCAGCGACACAACTCCTCCTCCCGCCGAATCAACTCCAAGCTGCGTGCTGTTGGCCTGGACCTCCAGTCCCAGGCTGTGGGCCCAGCCTTTGATGCGGGCCCGCAGGGAGCGCTGCGCTGTCATGATGAACCCCTTGCCCTTCGGCTTGTCTGGTCGGGCCCTGGAGACGGGGATCCCACGGGCCTCCATTTCATCAATATACTGGGTCGTGGCCGCATGCAACGAGGCCGAGACATCCGCCTCCGCACCTCGCGCCTGAATGCTTAAATCATCGACAAATAGCTTCAGCTGCATGGCAGGGTGCTCTTGCGCCAACCCGTCTACAACTGACAAAATAGCTAGCTTGAGGCATCTCGTGCCCCCGCTGCTGCCAGCAACGACTGCAGAGAAGGTGGTGACCGAGTGCACCGACACCACTCCGCGGAACGAAACGAAGCGCGTGGCTGTGTATATTGAGATCAGGAGCTTCAAAAGCTGCAAACGAAACTGATGCTTGGACGCCTCGGTCCACAGCAAGTACATCGTGACATGCTCAAACGCCTTCTCGAGGTCTAAGACCGCCGTGCCCGTCACCTCCCCAGGTTGGGCTCCTTTGTCGAACAGCATCTGCTGCCATATCGCTTCCTGATCACCCGCCTGGCGCCGCGAAGTCGTAGTCCCGTCGAATCTCCCGCTCCCAGTCGTGGAACTGGTGCGAGTGCGCGCGCTCCACCAGCCGCGCTGCAGTGGTGAGGAGGCCGATGGGCCTAGTCCCCCCACCCTGCTTGGCCAGTAGAAAATACATCACGTAGCGCAGCTGGGGGGGCCACCTGGCCGCGCGCGACACGTAGGCGACGAAGGCGGCCAGGAAAACGAGCCCTTCGTCCCCCAAGCTCGCAAACCACCTGGGGTGCCAGTTGTCCACTCCAACCCCCGTGTGCTCTGGGAAGGCTCTGCATCTGGCCCTGATGTCGTCCGCTGTAGGCTCGACCATGCTATACTCGAAAGTGGCCGCCTCCCAGGGCCGAGGGAGCTCGCCTCGGCTCTGGGCGCCGTGGGAGGTCCAGAGGTCGATCCACTTCAGCGCCTCCAGGTCCACCGCGGCCTGTGGGCAGGTCATGTCCAGATTGGTGTGCCCTCTGGCCCCGAGCGTGGGGTCGATCCCCTGGCGCCACTTCGACATGCGATGGACAAAACCTGCTCCTCCTTGTGAGCCGTCCTTGAGCCTCTGCCGCCACGCCTTGGCCCTCTGGTCTCGGAGGCCCTGCTCGATGACGTGGGCCTGCTGCGTGGCCCGACGCTGCAGCTCCATCGCCCTGGGAGCGTCCTCCCAGAGCGCGTCCCCGTCCCAGGTGAGGTCGCCCAGCGATAGGAGCTCGACGTGCACGGCCCTGGCGTCGTCGCCCAGCGCGTCGCACCAGCGGGCAGCACCATGGTGGAGGCGTCTGCGCAGGCGCCGCCACTGGTCGGCAAACGGCTGCCAGTCGCGCCGCTGGCGGGCCGCCTGCGCCAGCCAGACGATGTCCCCGACGCGGCTGGCCACCCAGCGCCATGCCCTGGAGCGCGTGGTGCCCCTGGGCCTCGCATGCGCGGAGAAGGAGGAGGAGGAGGAGGAGGAGGAGGAGGAGGAGGAGGAGGAGGAGGAGGAGGAGGAGGAGGAGGAGGAGGAGGAGGAGGAGGAGGAGTGACGAGGACTACGTAGCAGGATTATGAAGGATAAGTTGGAGAGGGCAGGCGTGGGTGCGGTAGTGCGCGGAAGGTGGCCAGCTACAAAACGACCTCC